AGACTGGATGCAGCACTTTTTCCCTCACCACGGGGGGGTTCGTCTAGCAAGGAGTTAAGGGAGCAGTCCTCATCTGATGCTGGAAGAGAAAGCCAGAATTTCTTATCCCCCACCCCCTTGGGGAACAGTTTTTCCACACAAACGTGTTTCCCTTGGGGAGAGGCATCAGCAAGAATGGAAAGCCGGAATCCCAGACAGGGCGGCCGAGGTCCCGACTGCACTGGAGGTCAGGGCATTCTGCGTTGGAGTAAAGATCTCTTGTCCATAATGGGGAGTCAGGGAGGGTACTACACGTAGTCCTGACTCCGCAACGTTCTCTAAGTGGAGGGAATACAAACTTGGGCTTGGCACTAAAAGCACTACTTAAGAGAAGCTAGACCCACATGGGGACTGCAGTTTGAGTCCTTACTGTCAGCCTGAAACAGCCAGGTGTATGCTTAAGTGCCCATGGTCCCACAGGTTGGCCCCTCCCACTTCAAATAAGAAGGAATCTTTTTGAGCAGACCCAGTGGAAGGCGCTCCTCTCGGCTCATGTGCTCTGCCATGAATAACAAAAACCAATCAGATCCAGTAGGTGCCACATGAAACGAGGCTGCAAACTGAAGCAACCCTGGGGATGGACAGGCAGGCGCCCAGTACTGCTCTATCTCGTATTGATGACCATAGTGACCTGACCCTCCAAGAGGTCAGACCACTGAACCAATCACATGGTGGGTGCCCCGCTCACTGCCAGATAAGCCCCCTACATTCTCTGGCAAAACAGCAAATGTGGGAGCACAATTAACATTTTAGAAAATCTGGCAGCTCTATCAGGTGTGTGTAATTTTGAGTTTAAAAAGATAATCTACATTGGGGGCCAGCAGGTGGCATGCTGGTTAAAGGCGCTGGACTCCCACATGGCCTACTGCGGTTTGAGTCCTGGACCCGGCAGCTTGCTCTCACTTCCCTCTCTCTCTCTCCTGCTCTCGCTCTCACTCTGTCCCTCTCTGGTCAAATTAAATAAAGTTAAATAAAAGAATTTTAAAAAGTTACCTACAATGAAACATCAAACCATTTTCTTAGAATAGTTTCCTTTTTCTAGTCTAATCTTCTGCCTAGTTTACATGAAAGCCACTCCCCATCCCCCATGGGGCTGTGTGTGTGTCTTCACTCGGGTTCTCCCATGATGCACTTCCACACTGAGAGGGGACATCACGAAGCTCGTAGGAATGAGACCAGCAGACAGTGTAATGGTTACGTCACTGGACTCCCATGTAGTCAACTGCGGTTTGATCAAGTTCCTCACCTGGTGGCTTAAAACTCACGATGGGTGCGAGTGCATATGTGCCTGAAATCCCCAGAGGAGGATGGAGAAGGGATTGCAGTGTGGCTATCTCCCCGGGGGGTGATCTCTCCCTTTCTCTGTTTCTTCAGCAAGTACACATGCCCTATAGGCAAAAATCTTGTTCTCAAAAAAAAAAAAAAAAAAACATGTCATAGGAAGATATAATTGAAGTACACGTTTATTTTGGTGAAACAAGTTGAAATTCATGCAGTTTTTTCATGATACACATTTCCAAGAACTGTTTGAAGACCCCTCCTATATTGCCACATTGCTAACGTGAAAACCTTTCTAACCATAATTAAGAAAACCCCTTAATTTCCTGTAAGTAATCAGTCCTGGGTTTCCCTGGCCGTAGTCTACACTGTTTAAATAAACACACCAAGCCAGGCCCTGTGCTTAGGCTACAGGACAGCCGTGGCGGAGGTAACGTGCAGACGCACCAGCTCCTCCCACTGCCACCACTCCGTTCTCTTCCTGTTTGAACTCACTCTGTTTTCCCCCTGGACTATAATCATTATGTCTTTCGACACTGACAAAATGTGAGAAGGCAATTTTTTTTTTTCATTACGAGAGAGATTTTTGGTATCGGGTGCATGCATTCACTAAAGAGACAGAAAGCGAGAAAACACCTCCCTCAGGGGGGATGGATACACCACAATCCCTTCTCTTCCATCCTCTTCTTGGGATTTTGGGCATGCACACAAACGTGCCAGGTGTGAGTTTTAAGCCATAGTGACTGGGATGCCCTTATTGCGATGGAGGCCAATAAATCAAGGTGGCTATGGCAGTTCCGGCAGCAGCAGCCATGGCAGTGGCAGAAGACAGTAATTAACGCCAGAAACAAAGCTTAGCAGGAGAGGAGAGCCAGAGAAGTGACAGGGAAGCTACAGGTGACGATAGATTTGTGAACTCAGCCAGGCACAGTAGTGGCAGTACCTCTGTTTGTTGCCTACAAGAAACATACCTCATGGATAAAGACATATATAGACTAAAAGTGAAGGCTAGAAGAATGTATTCCATGCAAATGGAACCAAAACAGGGCTGCAGTCACAATACTGATTTCAGACAAAAAGGGCTTTAAGACAAATAATGTAAGAAGAGACAAAGAACGGCGTTATATAGTAGAAAGAGGGCTAATTCAAGAAGATACATGCTTATAAATATCTATGCACCCAACTCAGGAGCACCCAGATACATGAAGGAAAGACTGCTCGATCTAAAAGGAGAGAGGGACTGCAACACACTGATGGTCAGGGCTCGCAGCACCTCACTGCCTCCTTTGGGCCGATCATATAGACAAAAACTAAGCAGAGATACAGAATCTAAACACTACCATAAATCAAATGGTCTTGACAGACATCTATAGACCTTTCCACCCAAAAACCACAAAATAGACATTTTTCTCCCCCCTACATGGCACCTTTGTGAAGGCTGACCACTTGACAGGGCACAAAACAAGCCTTTATAGATTCAAAGGTATAGAAACTATACCCAACATCTTTTCTGATCATGATGCAATTAAACTTGAATTAATTTCAGAAGGAAAAAAAAAACAACATATACAATCATATGGAAACGAAATAACTTACTCCTGAATGACTTCACAACCGAAGAAATTAAGACTGAAATAAAAAGATTCATGAAAACCAATGATACCGAGTACACGAGCTTCCATAATCTGTGCCACAGCAAAAGCCGTCATAAGAGGGAAGTTCATAGCAATAAATGCGCATAAGAAAAGGATGGAAAGATGGCAAATGGACAACCGAACGTCATGCTTCAGAGAACTGGGGAAAGAACAAGAAAATCCCCAAAGATGCCAGGACAAAAGAACGAAGATTCGAGCAGAAATAAGTCAAGCAGAAAATAGATGAAAGCAAAACCTGGTTCTTTGGAGAGAGAGAATCGACACACCATTAGCTAGACTAATTAAGAATCAAGGAACCAGGTGATTTCACAACGAAGCAGGCAATATTACAACAGACATAAGAAATACGAAACATCATTAGTGGATACTATGAGTGACTATTTACCAACAAACAAGAAAACCTGGATGAGATGGACACACAAAATCGACCGAAATTCAATCAGGAGGACACAGAAAGCCTGAGTAGGCCCGTAACAAGCCAGGAGATTGAATCAGTAAGAAATCACCTCCCAACAAAGAAAAGCCCTGGTCCTGATGGCTTCACTTCTGAATTCTGTAAAACCTTTAAAGAAGAGTTAACCACCCCCACTCTACTCAAGTTGTTTATTTTTTTAAGATCCAAAAGTAAGGAACCCTCCCAAATTCATCGTATGAAATCTCCATCACCCTAATCCCCAAAACATACCAGGACATGACAAGGAAGGAAAACTACAGACTAATATCTCTGATGACTACAGATGAAAAAAC